GCGCCATGGTGAATTTGTGCCACACTTTCGTTATTCATTCCCAAATAAAACAGCTCCCCGAGAAAAGATCATCCAACCCACTATATTAATAGTTTATAGACAGCTGTTTCCATATCTTGTCTGTTGTGAGCAGTGTCACTGCAGACAGGATGTGCAGGTGTCACTGTGGTACGCCAGCTTAGATTCCTTTGGTATAACACCAAGAAGTAGTACAGTTGGGTTGTATAAGTAGTTTTATTTTCAGATTTTTGAGGAATCCTAGAATACTGATTCCTATAATGACTGACTAACTTACATTATCACCAACAGTGACTGAGGATTCCATTTCCACCTTCTCTTGGTTCATATTTGTCATTGTTTATTATTGTTGTTTTTTTCTGTATGGTAGATTCTGTTTTGACCCTCACTGAAAATGCTGAATTTAAACACCAATGGAAAACCTTTTTTAGATTTGCAAACATTTGAGGCTGGGCTGTAAGAGGCTTTATCTTGCCATCATCAGTTTTTGTAGGAACTAAATTATATTTACAGGACATAAATGTACCTGCTTTGTATCTTATCAAAAATTTTTTATTGATGGTAATTATTGCAACTATAACATTTTTATGAAAGACATCCAAGTGTTTTAGAAGCTCCTAGAATGTCTGTCCATCAGGATTGTCCAGCATCTTCTGGTCAGCCCCAAGTGAACTCTTCTTGTGATATGGACCACCAGGGCTTTTGAGGAAAGGGTGGTCACAGTGACTAAGGCACGCGGTAACTCAGGGACACTGGGAAATATGCTGGCCCAGCCCTTACATCGCAGTGTCTTCAGCTTCTTCTGTGGTGAGACTGATTTAGGAAGGTGTGTGTGCCTTGTTTTCCAGAATATTTAAGTCATCAGAACAGCACCATCCAGGGTGGCTGGTGAACCTACTTCAACATGGAAAAGGGGTATGGTTTCACAGTCTCTAAATAGCTAGATATGTTCTGGGCAGTTTCCCCATTCACCTTGAATGGAGTATGAAAGATCAGAGACAGGCAACATGGCAGCACAAAGGCGTGGTTTTCCTCTGCATAGAGCAGGCTACAGAAGATGGTAATATTTTCCCTAAAATAAATGACCACCACACAATAAGAGAGTGAGTGTTTGGATCATGTTATAGATCATAGAGAACAGAGAATGTTGCAAAGGATCTACTATCATCCCACACTAACTGCTCAGATTCATTTAGCCTTCATGAGAGATCTTTGCAGCCTGGTGAACAAACAGACTGAGAATCACCCATGCAAAAAGGACCACCTTAGAAAAAAAAGCAATGCATCAAGACGAACTTGATTACTGAATACAGTATTTTTCTCCTCTTAACTCTGACTTACTGAAAACTAACAGGCAGTCTTAAAATTGTAGCCATGTCGGAGTACATTTATCTCAGTTTCAAGGTGCCTGACATATCTTGGCATGTAATTTTGCTTTCACAAAGTATGAGTTATAGCTGTTCCTTTCAGAGTGTCTAGAATCCTAATGAACTATTAATTAGGATGTGAAGAGTCAGTCAAAACTAGAGCTTATTTTATGCCCTGAAAAGTGATGCTAGGGCTAGAGATATGGCCCAGTGGGCAATACTTTTACCATGCGTGCAAGCATAAGGATCTGAGTTTGAATCCCCCAAAGCCCTGTGAAATCCAGATATACAGTGCAAACATAGAGAAAGGTGAGAACTGAGGGAAGCTTGCAGGAGAGCTACCCTGGCATATGCAATGGAAAGTCAACCAATAAAGAGATTCTGTCTCAAACTAGGTGGAAGGCAAGGACCAATACCAGGTATTGTCTTCAGACCTTCAAATTCACACCCATATTCACACACACTAATGTACGTACACACACACACACACACACACACACACACGCAGCTGGGGATGATGCTACACAACAGGGACTTTGCAAGAAATGATTTGTGGAGGACACATTCTATTTCCCCCTGAAATTGAGTGTTGCAATGAAATCATTCGAAACCTGTTCAGACATTGTTGAATTGTAAAAGAGACCTAGCATGAGCTTTTCAAAAAAGCCAAGTGGAATTAGGAGTCCACTGTGTTATGGAACCATCAGTTCTCACTGCCTACCATGATGTGTGTTTCTTGTTTGAGAATTTGGTTGGTGGACTGGGACCTAGGTGCTGCCCATGTTAATCACCATGTTTCATCAGAATACTTTTGCAGGTATTTCACTAGGAATTTTAGGTAGTCACGGTATTCATAGCCTAGAGAAAAAGAAAGAAGCCTTTAAGCAAGGGACTTACTGCTGACTCTTACCAGGAAATGCACTGTGGGACTGGAGGATACTGTTTAGTGGTGTACGGCTTGCAAAGCATGCACAAGGCCTGGGGATTGATCCCTGGCACTAGAAAAGCAAGCAAGGAAGGAAAGGAGAGAGGGGGTTAGAGGGAGAGAGGGAAATAAAAGAAAGACAGATACTATGTATATGGTACATGATTATATATATTTAATGTACACCACAAATGCTTATAGAAATAAAGGTTTCATGAAATGAACGTATGCTTTTCCTATTGCTTGAATTGTGATTAAATATTTTCATTTCTACCAAATTTTCCAAGATGCTGTATATATTGCTAAATTGATTTCACAGCTCATAGACTGAGTACACTAACTGAGAAGTCTGCCCATGTCCACTAGCAGATGATTACAGCATCGCTGTCAGTGGGGCCAGATACTTAAAATGGTGCCATATTTTGACCTCTCAGTTAACTTGAAGAATTATACACTCTATGGTTCATTTGGTCAGGCCAATTTGCTGCGAAATGACCTTTCCTTAAATTGCATTTGCTGAAGGCATGACTAATAGTCCTTTATTGTATTAAAGGCTCAACAGAAATCAGTTGTCAGATGGGTGGACATGTTTTACTCTTTGACATTACATTGTTTGAAATGTCAATAGCAATTTACCTTGTGGGACCATAAATGAAGGGATGCACACGTTTAAGCTATATCTCTAGGTGCTGGCCTTACACCCTAGTCATATTGTTTCGTGTGTGTGTAGTGAAATGTAATAGTAAGTCCTTTGTGTCTGGCTTTGAGAGAAATGTTTCAGCAAAGCCTTTGCTGTGTTTGAGTTGATCAGTAAAGGCTTAGAAATAGTTTTGAGACTGCTTGAACCTTGAAAACATGTTCTTCCTCTGGAGAGTCTCTACTAGGTGCTACGTGAGAGCTTGCAGCTGTACCAACCTTGATTCTAAGACAGTCCTGGCAGACATGGCTAAACACTCCTGGCTAGCCATAATCAAAAGGAACTGGGATTTGTGTGGGTTGTCTGTTCTCACAGGAAGAAAGAGCAAGATAACTTGGTTAGCTAGGACCTTTCCCGGCCTCATTTACCCTTGTATGTGTTTAAATAAAGAACTGGAGTGAGCTAGCTGGGGGTCAGTCTTTTTCAAGAAAGCTGAACCCCTCTGCTGCTTTGGAAAATGAAGGCTTAGCATCTAGGTGACCTTCTCTTTCTATTGTAGCATCTATGACCCAACATCTATACATATGTAAGATTCATGTATTTGTATTAGGTTTTTCTGTGCAGCCTTGTCACTCTGTAAACCAGGCTGAGAGGGATCCACCTGCCTCTGCCTCCCAAGTGCTGGCATTAAAGGCATGCGCCACCACCACCTGGATTAAAACAATATATTTAAGATAATAATTTGAAGCAAATATAAGTAATATTTTCTGAGACAGTTGTTCCAAAATTTTGGGTCAAGACTTTTTTGAAATTAGGATGAAATCTGATTCATCTACAAAACTAGACCAACTTTTAATTGTGTAGACTCTTACCTGAGAGTCTTTCACGTGAGTAGTTTACCCGCTAGTCATACAGTATCTTCAAGTCAGCCAGCAGCTCTTATAACTACCCTTTCTAGGGGGATGGAAAAATTCTCCCCAGTGATTCCTGGCCCACTACTCTCTAACCAGCCTGTCCCATGACAAACTCCTGTCCCATCTTTTAGTGAACAGATATCCTATAGAAGGTTCCAGGGCTCTGGGCTACTTTGTCCCAGTTACGAAAGGTACCCCTATGGCAGGCAAATTCAAGAAATGTATCTGTCCCCCTCCAAGCAATTCTGCCCCTACAGGGAGCGTGTGTGGTATGTACCACAGAATTGGTCACTGCCTGAGCACAGAGTGATTCAGGCAAGTCTTCTGGTGGCTCATCATCTGTTAAGAATGCCTGCTACTCTTCTAGAAAACCTGAGTTCAATTTGAAGGACCTATATGGGTGACTTACAACCACCTACATGTAACTCCAGTTCCAGGAGACCTGACACTCTCTTCCTGGTCTCCATGGATTCTCACAAACACACATATGCACACAGGCACACAAATAAATAGATATAGTAAAATCTTTTTTTGTTTAAGTCAGAGGAATAAGCAAAGGATCATATTTGGTATATATATGGTGCAAACCCTTTTGTTTGTACTCACTCAGCTGTCCTATCTCCTGGATAAAAGTTAGAACCAATCGAGGGGGTGAGTTTGTCAATATGCCAGCACATCAGCCCATCAGGCTGTAAGACCCACTGCTCTAGGGTAGTGGCAAGGGACTAAAGATGGCGGACAGCCCCCCTAGAGGTATTTACAGGTTCCCTACAGTCACATGGATGCGACACATCACAATGATTCTCTTTGTTTTAATGAATCAATTAAGATGCTTATTTAAAAAGCACCAGAATGTTGTAATTTTAGTAACTATCATGTAGACTACCCAACACTGAGCACAAACCCCATCTGAATTGCAAGTGACCCTGTAAGCCACATAAGTGAGGTACCGCTTCCACCTTCTGCCAAGTTCAAGTTGGATGGGGCAGTATTTGTGTTCATTGTGGTCAGTATAAAATGATAGAGTATGCACGCTGCTTGCTATGCCAGTGGTGGGAGAGACTGTGTTGTTAGAGTCAGCTTTACATTAGCTGTCCAGGCCCCGTCTTATGTGTTCTCTGCACTTCACTTCTTGGCAGGATTGGAGGCGCCATTCCGACCGTGTTCTCCTACTTTGCTGAAGTCCTAGCCCGGGAGAAGCGGGGTGAGCACCTCAGTTGGCTCTGCATGTTCTGGATGATTGGCGGAATCTACGCTTCGGCCATGGCCTGGGCCATCATCCCGCACTATGGTAAGGAGCTGGCCATGTGTCAGCTTCCCTCTCCATCTGCTTCCTCTCTGTCCTGCGCTCTGGCTTGGGGACAGTAATGTCCTCATCAGGTGTCTGCCATTCATAATGCTCAGGAGGCGTTGCTCTCCATGGAAAAGTCTGTATAACTTAAGACTGTGTCAAATGGTCCTTTGGGCAAATGGATAAAAGGCAAGACTCCTATGCTACTCTTGCACAGTGCTTCTGGTCACTTCAGCCACCACTGTCCCCACAGTTGGGACTCCTTCAGTCTAACCCACCTCTGACACTGTCTATCTAGGTTCAGAGTCAGGTCCCACAGGTTGAGGACTCAACCCTGCATGACTGCCACTTTCGTTTCCAATGCTTCAGATGCCGGCTCTAAGTCCAGGCCTCCTCTGATTGGCCAGTCAGAAATCCTCCTCATGTTCCATTGGTTTCTATAATGGTCCACAGATCTCGGGAAAATGCCTACCTTGAACTCCCCAGTTTATTATCAAGGATGTCACAGAGATACGGGTGAGCTGCCAGGTGAAGACGTATGGGGAGGGTAAAGAGCCCCCATGCCTCCTCCAGGTTCACCATACCCCCTGCACTCCATGAGTTCAGCAGTGGGGAGCTTTCAAATCTCATAGTCCGTGGGCATGGTCTAGTAGTCCACCAAGCCTTTAGCCAGAGGACAGGGTGCATAATTGTGGTATGTCTTTCAGGTGACCTGCTCTATGCAAGAACCCAAATTTAGATTCCAGTTGTTTCTGGGCCAAAGGTGCCTTTGTGCGGCCAGTTCCTCCATGAGAATTGTCTTCTGCCACCATCCAAGGAAGTAGAGATGTCTCCTTTACCTGGACCTTGAGGACCTCAGCCACCCTTAGTACCTTAGGTTGTAGAGCAGCATTGAGTCCAGGCCCCTCTCAGTTCAGATTAGCAAGGAGAGACTTGAGAGAATGGTTTGTGGGAACAAGAGAAGGAAAAGGAAATGCAGACCTTTTGCAAAGTCCAGCCTTATTGTCCATGGTTCTCAGAGCTATTGCTGGTCCACCCACATACAGCCTTTGTGGCAATTAAAGTAAGGTACTTGTGGCTAGTGAAATGGTTCATTGCTTTTGTAGAGGACTTGAGTTCAGTTCCAAGCACCCACATCAGACAGATCACAACTGTCTATAACTCCAGCTCCATGGGTACCCAACATCTCTGGCCTCTGTGGGCACATGTGGCACTCATATGCACATACCGTCACCACAAAAAACACATAAAAGTAATTAAAAGTATTCAAATAAATCCTTAAAAAGTAAGGCACCTTCTGGGCAGGCAAAAGTATAGCTCCATTCATCATTTTTGCATGGGTTCCAGGGAGATAGCTCTCTCTCTGTCTCTCTCTGTCTCTCTGTCTCTCTGTCTCTCTGTCTCTCTCTCTGTCTCTGTCTCTGTCTCTCTCTCTCCTTCCCTCCCTCCAATCTCCCCCCCCCATTTAGCCCTATCTAAGCCAGCCTTTGTCTTTGTCCCATCCTCTCAGGACACCTCCATTCCTTGGCTGTAGCCAAACCTCTCTCTGGAGCTCCTTGACTCCTTGGGTTGACTGCAGATCCCTTCCTGGCTTCCCTTCCCATCATATCACTCAGAGTCTCATCTGCTGGCCTCGAAAATGAGGCCATATATGAGCTCCTGCAAGCTGCTCATATAATTGCTTTTCTTTTGCTTTCCATGCTAAGGATTCAGCTCTTCTGACTCCCCTTATACTTTCCCGTCTTGCAACCGTGCATGTCCTGAGAACATCCCGCCATCAGTGGCTACCCCACAGGAATCAGCATATGTAAGCTCTTTCATTTTAATATCAAAAGAGCAAGCTACTTCAACTGTAACTAACCCATCTATTAAGATGAATCCATCTCTAACTAATCTGTCTCTAGCTGGAATGGTACAAGAGGTCACAAATCACAAAGCTACTTGTGAAAAGTGAGAATACAACAAAATGAAATGCCTGGGACTGACTTTAATTTTGATGTGAGTGGAACCTTGAGAAATAATGACATGGATAGTAAATCAGTCACAGGGTATTAAAATTTTAAGGCCATACTTTCTTGAAGTCTTCCCATGGCCATAAGGGTGGAACCGACAACAAATTATCGCAATCAGTCCTGTCTGCAGATTAGAACCAGCAGGGAGATCCTTGTAAAATACATTTGCTAGACTCACTGTTGCGCTCTTGGATTTGAAGAGTTTTGTTTGCTTTTTAAAAGTTAAAATTCAAAAATAAAAAGCTCCTATGTTGAGGTATCTGCAGATGAGGCTGCTGTCCCATGGGTGGCCTTTTTCAGGTGCCTTCAAAGAATCCCTTAGCCACATGGTTAAGAATTGTGCACATCGTTCTATGGAAAGCACACTTTTATGTAAATGTTCTCAGTAAATTTTCCACTTCCCACAATCAAATCAGATTCTCTAGGCTGAGGACTCAGTGCTGTTTTTATTCTTACTCTTCCTAGCATGAAGTAAGCATGACTGACAAATACAAGTTATATATAGTTAATGTTCACAACCTAACTTTGTGTACATGCAAGACGGCTCAGCCAGTAAAAGCTCTTGTCATGCCCTGAGTTAGACACATGGAACTCACATGGTGAAAGTAGAAAACTGACTGCACAGGCTGTTCTCTGACCTCAACATGGAATGGATGGACACCAAGGTGAGCGCGTGTGCACGCGCACACACACACATACACCATAAAATAAATGCACAGATATTTTTAAAGAAATTAGAGAATTCAATGTTTAGGGGAAAGCTTTGTATTTTCCCTGGAAATTCGGCTTTGTATGAATGATCCAGAAGCCCATAGAAACAGTAGCAGGTCATGTGTTCCTCCTCTGCTACTCCATCCTCTCTCACTGATGAGAACTTTGAGGACCACTATGCTTGGAGGGAGCTGTATGAAGGCATTTGAGAGCACAGTGCAGGGACCTGAAGTTAGATATTGATTTTCTCAAACCAACGACAAGGTTTGGTCTGGAGGGAACGTGTGGATCATCCACATCCATGTGGAAAATGTGGTTCGGTGATGAGTGAGCACATTTGGGTGGCTCACGCACACAAGGCTCTCATGACTGCCCTGATTCAGGATGCTTCTTTCCTGCCTATGGGGCACCCATCAGCAGGGAGCCTGAGCCTGATTTCACTGAGATACACTGACTCCACACAAGCCTCCAAGGCAAAGCAGATATTAAGTTTGGTCCAAGGGTTCTGAAAGGATTCTTGAGCAGTTAGATCCACCACCCGGGGGGTTTTGATGGCTTCATGGCCTGGTGAGTTAAGACAGGAGCTGCTAATGCTAGGAGCTAATGTTAGATAATGGGATCGGCCTTGTTTTTTATACCAGCATCAGATAATGATGCCACTTTCCATCACATTATCAGTCTTTGGCAAAGCTGAAGCTTTACCCAGAGCCAGGTAGTTGCTAATATCTGAAGGCTTCCAGCGTAAATTCGCTCACCTAGAATCCTAGCACTAAGCAGGGCAGAGACAGAAGAATTGCCATTAAGTTCAAATCCCTCTGGGCTGCACAGTACATTTCAACACAGCTTGGCCTGCACAATGAAACCCTGCCTTAGTCTCCATCTCCTCCCCATCCCCTACCCCTGCCCTTGCCCCTCCCCCACCAGCTAACTAGGTCTCAGGAAGCATCAGGCTTTTCTGTCATGTTCTCAGGCATCTCCCTTACTCACCCCTGCACTCAGGAGCTGCTGGGCTATCCAACTGGCTGGGGGGAGGGGGAACAGTAAAGCCAGGGAGCATGTCCTGGTCTCAAACACTAGGTGTTCACAACAGCTGCAGCTAGATGTGGGGAATGTGCTATCCTGGGCACACATTCTCACTCCCAGGCTTCTGATCCCAGTGGAAACTGGCTATCAGCACATAAAGAAACAGGCCAGGCTTTCCTCTGTTTCCAAAGTTGTTATTGCCATAGTTGTATTTATCTGTGGAGTACAATATTTATGTTGATATTGTTCATAATGAGCACATCACTTCTCTCTTTCTACCATGTGAGTTCTGAGAACCAAACTCCAGAGTCCACAGCAAGCATCTTTACCCACTAAGCCATCCCACCAGCCCCAGGCTGATTCTCTGTCAGCACCTGTGAATCACACAGTGACAAATGGGAACTTGCAGGTGGCTTCGTTATGCTGCTACCATTTTCTTGGATGTAAACCCAGTAGAGGCTGGACCCTGTGTGCACTTAGTTTTACACTCTTGAGGCATATTTTTTGAGATAATCCATATGTTTATTCATTCATTTATGTATTGTTATATGTGTGCGCATGTGTGTACGCACATGTGTAGAGCGCAGATGATAACTTACAAGAGTCCGTTCTCTGTTTGCACCGTGTGGGTCGTGGAGATGGAAATCAGGTCAACAAGCTTGGTGGCAGGCATCTTTACCATCTGAGCCAGGGCCAAGCCTCTTGAGGCTTCTCCACGCTGTTGGCTGTGGTAGCTGCGCATGCCCATTCCCAACAGCAACGCTCCAGAGCTCCTTTTCCTCTCCTCCCTCCGCCTCATGGGCTCTCTGTTCTAGGACAGCTGTTCTAGCTGAGGTGATGGTCTCCCACTGAATGTGGGTGGAAACAAGCAGTGCTTTCAGCAGCAGGGACGGACGGCTCTGATGGAAAAGTCCTCCCCACATTCCACTTCTCCCCTCTGCACACGCTCCGGTAATGAGAACACATCAGCCTTTAATGGAAACCCAATTACCTTCAGCAGAAAATGGGAACGGGGCTGACTCATCACCCTGGTCCTCTCTGAAGCTTTCAGGGAGGCCCCTGATGCAGGGGCTGCTGCTTCCCCGCAGTGCTGTCTGCTCCGTTACACTCCCTGTCATTCTGCTTGGATGAGGTGTTCTCTCTTCTGCTGTGTACATCCCAGAGCGGAACAAGATCGCTCAATCAACTAAGGGAGGGGATTTTGAGTATGAGGAGCCCTGGTCCTAAATGCTCACTCACACTGTAGTCAGCACC